ATATAGTCTAGATACGAGTCCTTTATCAGATATATGCTTCGCAAATATTCTCTCCCACTCTTTCCACTTTCTGGATGGTATCCTTTACAGCACAAAAGTTAATAATTTCACTGAAATCCAATCTGTCTTTTTGGTTTTTTTCTTTTGTCACTTGCGCTTTTGGTGTCAGAGCTAGGAAACAGCCACCCAACCCAAGGTCACCCAACCCGAGGTCACAAAGGTTACTCCTGTGTTTTCTTCTAAGAGGTTTAGCTCTTACATTAGGTCGAAGGCTCCTTCTGAGTTCACTTTGGTGTCTGGTGTGAGCTGGAGTCCAACCTCCTTCTTCTGCCTCTGGAAATCCAGTTGTTCTAGTACCGCTTATTGAAAGGCCCTGTCGAATTGTCCTGGCAGCCACTCTTTAAACTCTATGCCTCTGGCTTTGTTTGTCTGAAACACATTTGCCAAAGTTTTCTTGCCACTTTTCAGTCCCTGCTTTCCCCTTCTGCTGCAGGGGGACTCTTCCCCCCCTCCGCCCCCCCCCCCCAGGCTATGGTGACTTCTCACTCCCAGAGAGCCTCCCTCCCTGGCTCTTCACACCTGCTCCGGGGACAGCCTGCAGGCTCTACAACCCACCCTCTTCTCCCTCACCACCCCCACCCTCCGCGTCAGTGCAGATCCTCCGGGAAGCAAATGCCAACACAGATACAGATGTACAAGAGATCTGTTGGGAGTGATTCCCATTCGGATAAAGGGCAGAGGGAGCCCCAGGCTCCGGCTCTTGAAGAGGTCTTGTCCAGGCCACAGGAAGCAAAGTTTGCGCACGGGTGGCGTCCCTTGCAAGGCGGAAATGGCGTCTAATGCTCCCACCGTGCTCAGGCATTGGCTGGGGGTGGCCCCGGGGAGAGTGTGGCTTCGGTGTAAGTTGTGCTTCAGCCCAGATGCGCTCAGGCTGGAGCCTGTCAGCCAGCTACGCTCCTAGAAGCCTCTCTCCAGAAAGGAGCCCTGAGCACGTGTTCTGCGCCTCCCTCGTTCTCATCTCAGCCAACACGCTCAGGCTGCCTGCGTCCAGTCACCTGCCTCCTCCGCCACAGCCAGCCTCGGACCCTGTAACCCACACGTGGCTTGATTCAGCCTCTCTCCACCCTAACTGCTTCCACCTTAAATCGAAGTCAACATCATCTCTTGCTTGGAAATGGCTTCCTCATAGCTCTCCCCAGCCCATCCTTTCCACGAAGCTAAAGGTTCAACTGAATAGCAAATCTGACAGCGCTTTTGTCTTCTTCGTGCTCCGTGAGCAGTGATGTGACAACCTTCCAGCCTCAGTGACGTGGCAGACACCTGCCTACCTTTCCCTGGCCCCCTCCAGACCCTCCCCCTCCCCCACTGCCTCTGCCAACACACACCTGGCACCCCCAACCTCACAAGATCGCTCATGCTCCCTGAACTCAGCTCAGGCTCCCCTGCTCCCCAGATTCTCTCCCCCACGGCCCTATCTGCCTATGGAGAGCCTATGCAGCCTTTATTTTTTAAACTTTATTTATTTTGAGAGAGAGAGAGCAGGGGAGGGCCAGAGAGGGAGAGAGAGAATCCCAGCCCAGAGCCTGAAACGGGGCTCAATCTCGCCCACCAAGACATCATGACCTGAGCCTAAATCAAGAGTCGGACATTTAACCAACTAAGCCACCCAGGTACCCCTTATGCATCTTTATTTATTTATTTATTTTTCCTTATGCATCTTTAATCTGGTCCCAATGATGTCACATACAGACACACACACACACACACACACACACCCAACAATCCCTTCCATGATGATTCAAGCCAACAGAATCCTCAGAATCCTACCCTGGGCTTCAAGACCTTTCTTATTATCCCTGTTAACACTGCAGCCAAATATCCATGCCCAAAGTCACCCTGTTTCTCCCCAGACACCAGTGAAACCATCTGTGCCTCTGAGCCCGCAGGGGAGAAGTCCGATGATCGGGACATAAAAAGCGTGCCGGGCTAGCACGCGGCAAAGGCCAGTGAGGGCAGTGGGGACGGAGGTGTCCCCAAGCGGGAAGTGGCGCTGGGCTTCAGACCCATTGTCAAGGCTCAGCAGCTTCCCCTGATACCCAGCAGGTGGAGGGACTGCAGACTACGGCCTGAACGGAGCTACGGCCACGCGCAGCAGGTCGAGCGGAAACAGACACGTGTGGGCAACGCCCGTGGAAAGCCGGCACACGGTGCAGTAGAGTAGACATGGTTTAGTCTCTTTCCATGTCCTGCAACCTCAGAGGCTGCGGGAAGGGTCAAAAGGAAATCCAGATGCAGGATGTGCAGGCGAGTGAGGCATCTGACCACCGGGGGCCCTTCTGGTCCCGACTGGGCATCCCCGAAATCCTCCCGCGTCTCCGCCTGCCGCAGGTTTGTTCCCTTCTGCTCCTCAGGAAGCCTCCAGACAGCAGAGAGCTATCAGCGCGTGTGTCGCACGTCGTCCAGACCTGACGACCGCAGCGGGAGAGAGGTTCTAGGGTCGGCTTGAGTTAGGGGGGCCCGGGGGCCAACCAGCCCAGGCAGACAAGCGTGGGTGGGGCTGGAACGGGTCAGAGTCGATCTCCCGCCCCTGGGTTCCCGAGGCCCATGGGAGGCGGCACCGGGTGGGCCTCGATAGCCCGCGCTCCGGAGCCTGACTGCCTCGGTTTGAGTCCCACTTCTGCCACCTACAGACAAATGCCTTCGTGTCTCGCACCCTCAGCTTCCTCGCAGAGATCACGGCAACCTGGCTGGGACGCCCCTTCTGCAGACGGTGGCAGGCCTACACACGGGCCTTCTCAGTCAGACACGCCCCTCGGATCATACTATAATATTGGCACACAAGCCTCATCTGAGGCCCCAAATCTTCCATTATGAATTTTCATAAGATACTTGTTCAAACGTCAACATACAGAAATATTGCAAGAATGTTGTAATGAACCTTCACATACCCACCACCTGGATTCTACAATGAACACATATCTATTAGTTAGATTTTTTAGGCTCGAATTAAAAGTTTAAGGGGCGCCTGGGTGGCTTAGTCGGTTGAGCGTCCGACTTTCGCTTAGGTCATGATCTCGCGGTTGTGGGTTCGAGCCCCGCGTCGGGCTCTGTGCTGACTGCCAGCTCAGAGCCTGGAGCCTATTTCGGAGTCTGTGTCTCCCTCTCTCTCTGACCCTCCCCTGCTCATGCTGTCTGTCTCTCTCTCTCTCCTAGAAATAAATAAAACATAAAAAAAAAGTTTAAAAAGGCCGCATTTTCTCGAGTTGTCTAATCTTCTACGTAACCGATAGCCCAAGCAAAGACAAGAAATACGCGTGGACCAGAGAGAATGTGTCTTTATTATGAAGTACGCCTTTGGACTTCTCAGGCTTTTTTCAAAGTGCATGCATCGTTGCTTTGGATAATTGCATAAAATTATAAAACAATTCCGGGTCAGAGTCCAGATGTGTCTGGTTCAGAGCAAAGATAAAACTCAACTGCCGGTAAATCCTGCCTCTGGCACTCCCTGGCTTTGCTGGGCGTGTGTCAGTCTCCTCACTGACAGCGGAGGTAATAACAGACCTACTTCGCAGGAGGTCTGCGCTCAGCGGGCACAGCGAACAGCACCGGGCCCACGGAACATTCTGCAAAGGTGCGCGGGTAGTTCGCAACAGTTCGTAAACTTACCTGTGAATAACAACAAATTGGTAGTTCTGCTCAGTAGCTTTTCTCTCTTCGGGTCACCCATTTTCTAGACTCCTAAAAGTCTCCTTAAACAATAAGTGTCTGAGATAAACCATCTTGAAACTGTTTGCTTTCCTGCTGACACATGACTCCAACGCACAGCTCTTTATTCTGCTGCTACACGGACAGGCGGCGACTTTACACGACAGGGCGAGGACCTCTATCCTGGGGGTAACGAAACACCACTTGTCTATTCAGGGTATTAAATGCTAGCTGCTCCCCTCCACACGTGTGAGCACGCACGTGTGCGCACGTGCACACACGCACACACACAATCACGTAGATGGCCTAACACAATATTTCCTTCGTCTCTCGTACAAAGCCCCATAGATACCGTCAGTTGGAACACTGTGGCGATTCAGGGATCCCCGCTCCCTCCGTCTCAGGGAGCCCCTCCACATTCCGTGGAGCTGGTCTTCCCACCCAGTTCTCCTGCCTTGGGCAGAGCCAGGAGCCGCTGGATTCTCACTGGCCGCTTGCTGGCACAGGGCACGGATCCTGCTAGAAGGACGGAGCCCCGACCGCGCCCCAGCTCCAAGCAGCCTTTGTCACTCTGCAAATTCCCTAGATGCATGCGACAACGTGGTGACAGTGGTGAGGGCTTGAGGGGTTCTCCTGTTTTGAAGGAACACAGGATATCAGCTGGGGACGCGGGGGCCCACCCCAGCCCACCTCCGCTGGTGGATCTGGGCTGTCTCCACTGGATCCCTGCTCTTTACCATCTCAGTGCCTCCCTGTCCACTGACAGCCCTTGTCATTCTGTGCTTTCTTACGCGTCTCATTCGCCCCCTGGAGTAGGGGTTCTCCCTCCTTACCCCGCAATGCAGTCACCCGAGGCTGCTTACCGCCCAGCCTGGGGGCTCTGGCCCTAGACTCCCTGCTCAGAAAGGGGCAGAATGACTTCTCTAACGAGTGCCCGGCATCTCTGATGCTGCCGGCCCCGCGGCCACACTTTGAGAACAGCCCCTCTAGAAAGTGAGGTCCACTCGGCAGAACGGCGGGTCTGTTTTTGCACCACACGCACCCCAAGGTGCACACTGAATAAATGAATCGGGGAGCGAAAAGTAGAGAGCTGGAGGAATACAGAACACGGAAGGCCGGAGGGAGGAAACTCCGCGGCCCAGGCCCCGACCCGGACACCGTCGGGGACAGCGGGGCTGGGGACTCTCTGCGCCCGGACCCTGCAGCCCGCAGGCCCCACCCCCACGCAGCCGGGCGCCTTGGCTTTGGGACGTCACCGCCCTGGATTGCGAGGAGAATGGTTGCCATGGCGACGTAAACAGAAGGCCGGGCCTTCCTGAGCCGGGAACTAGCCCTGGCACGCGGGCCGGTGGGTGCGCGCGGGGGTCGGATGGGGGTGGGGTGCGCGGGGCCCGGGGTGCGCGTGGGGCGGGGGGAGGGCTCCTCTGGCGCCCCTTGCAAGGCCTCTCTGCAAGGCTGCCCGCCTGTCCTTACCCGTTACTCTGTTCGCTTTATCACATACCTACTCCCTAGCCATCCCTCCAGCCTTCCACGCCTCGTGCACCCCTGCTACACGGCCCGAGGCTCACCCCTAACGGGTAGGGGTGTTAGGAGGCGCGGCGCTGCGACCTAGTCCCTCTCCAGGCCTGAGCTGTAGCCGAATGTTGCTGGAACAGCTCGCACTTCGGAGTCAAGGAATCTTGGGCTGGAATCTCAGCTATGGTCCTTCTTTGCTGTGTGACTTTGGACACCTCACTGAATCTCTGCTTTGCTTCCTCTTTGCAAAATGAAAATTCACTCAGCAAATCGTTAAGCGCTCCAAAGATGCCCCGCTAGGCGCTTTGATGAGCCCGCTGCCTCCAAGCGAGAAAAGACCCCTGTTCTCTTGGAGGTTACTTTCAAGGGGGAAATGGGCAATGCACGGATTTTTTTTATGACAAGTCCGATAGCGGTAATTGCAGAGAAGAAAGTCGAACGAGGTCATAGGGGGTTGGGGGAAAGAAACCATCTGGATGGAGTGGTGAGGGAAGACGTCGCTGAAGTGGGGAGGGAGAGGACCCTCCCACCCACAGCTGGGCGTGGGTGGACATTTTTTGGCCAAAGAAGTGGTAAATGCAAAGAGCCCGAGACGGAGCAAGGTTGGCATGTTCTAGAAACAGAAAGATAAGGCAAGGCAATCAGAACCAAGTCAAGGAGGGGAGAGAGGCCGGGGGGGGGGGAGGGCGGGCAGGGGTCTATAGGTGTTGGCCACATGGTGAGCCCTCAGTAAATGCCAGCTGTTCTCAGCCACCTAGGGACACGGGGGTGAGGGCCTGGGGATCATCTGGCTCAAGCACTGTGTCCCTCCTCAGGTTGGAATTGCCTTTAGCCAAAGCCAAGTTTTGCAACAAGCCTTGGTTCCTGTGCCCAGATGTCCAAGACACTGTCTACAAGGATCTCCAAGGACATGACTTTCAACAGTAAGTGTGGGGCTGGCGTAGGCTCCGAGCCAAAGGCAGCCTAGGAAGCGTGGAATAGTGAGGTCCAGACTCGGTGCAGGTTAAGGTGTTTCCAAATCGGGCCACGAGGCAGAAGTCACAGGTTTGCCAAGTTCCCTAGAAACTCCATGTTCTATCTCCCTGGGCTGCTCTGACAAAGTGCTGCAGCACACTGGTCGCTTAGCGCGCAGAGATTTCTCGTCTCCCGCTTCTGGGGGCCAAAGCCCACGATACAGGTGCCAGCGGCAGGACTGGCTCCTTCTGAGCGCCACGAGGAAGAGTCTGTGCCAGGCACTCTCCGAGCTGGCTGGCAATGCCCGAGTTCCTCGGCTCGTAGCTGCGTCACCCCTGTCTCCGCCCTCACCGGCACATGGCGTTCTGCCTGTGTGCGCGCCTGTTGCTGATTTCCCCTTTCCACTAAGGTCAGGCGTCCGACAGGATTGGATGTCCACACTAGTGCCCGTGACCGCATCTACGTCTTCAATGACCCCATTTCTTCACAGGGTCACGTTGGGAGGTGCTGGAAGTTAGGATTTCAAGCATTAAACTTCAAGTATGAACTTGGAGGGGTGGGGGACACCATTCGCCCCATAACAGGCTTTGTGGAAGGAACCATAGCGGAGGGGCCTCTCTCGGCTTTTCTGCGGCAATGGTCGCTGGGCTGAGCCCAGAGGAGGTACCAGCTGGCCCCAGGCCCTGGTGGGAGAATATCCTGCTTCCTTTGAAGTCACACGCCTGCTGCCAGGTGTCCCCACTGGGTGGCCTGGAGGGAGGCCACCAGGCCGGGGGGGGGGAGGGCAGCAAAGTGGGACACATAGTCACCCGCGTGCTCTTAACTGCCTTCAGCCTGTAGTTTGTTTTTGAATAGGTAAAGTATGGCCGTGGTTCAGAGTTCCAAAGTGTTCAAAGGCCCCTCTTGTGAAGGCCCCACCTGTCCCCAGATACCACGTACCCCCTCCTCAGAGGTGGCCAGGGGCTCCAATCTCTCACCTCCTCCCCCACGAGCTCCGTGCGTGGGCTCTGTGCACCCAGGCGCGTAGATGCGGTTCATATACGGACAGATACAGTCCATCCCTTCCTCACACAGACGGCCACGCAAGACACGGGCTTCCTGCACCTTGCTTTTCCATCAGCCCAGACAGTGTGGAGACGCTTTCTTATCAGTATATCAAGAGTTCCCATTGACTTCTAGAGTTACTCGCCGAAGGAATCCCGCAGGGTGGGTGTACCGTAGTTAACCAATCCATGGCGAGTGGCATTTAGCCTATTTCCAAACATGTACAGCTATCCCCCCTTGTCCCCACGTTGCCAATTGTGTGCTCACGCACTCTGTTCCAGAATGAATTGAAAAATGAAGAAAGGCTGAAATAGGGTTACAAAAAAAAAATAGCTTTGAAATGTTTGCAGATAACAAATTAACTCAACACACACCCACACACACACCAATGCAACATGCCTGCACTATCACAGGAGAGTTGAAGTGATAAACTTCAACTATGTATTTAAGCTGTATTGATTCATCCAGGAGAACCAGGAGGGGATTACAAGGTGGGGGGGTGGGGTGTACCCTGTGACCCTCGAGGCCGAGTATATCGTGTCCTCTGCAGGTGACATGTAAACAGGAGGCTCGCCAGACCAGGCCAGGCAGGGGCATGCACGGAGGCACATGAAGTCACTCAGTGGGGGCACTCAGGCCAGGAGGGCTACTGAGCCTGACATCCTGGGTTCAGCTGCTGGAGCTGGGGGCTAAGGTAGGGGCCAGAAAGACTCTGAGGTCCCTGGGGGAGACGGGTCTGGGGACACTGAGCTCCGAGCCTGGACCAGGTACAGGTAGGATGTCTGGACCCCAGCGCTACCCAGAGAGCCGAGGGCCGAGGCGCTGGGGTCAGGCACACCCGGTGGAGCACAGCACCTCTGTGAGCCTCAGCTACCTCATCTGCGGAATGGGAGCAATCCCTAGTACACCAGTACCCCACCCTCAGGGCCTCGGTCTCCCAGTGAGTGTGTGAAGCCTGAGTCGGAAGAAGATGCCCAGGGAATACGGGTGGAGAGGTGGGTAAGGGGTCTGGGCCAAGACAGCTGGAGCTTGACATCAAGGGAGTGAGCTCTGGGCTTGTTCTTCAGCCACAGAGCTTTATTAAGTGCCAGCTGGATGCGGGCATCTGTTCTAAGCGCTGGGGACTCAGGAGTGAATAAAACCCTCCCCCTCGTGGGGACTTATATTGCGACAAGGGAGGCAGACATTGGAAAGGCAATAGTCAGTCTGTATTTACCAGCCGAGAAACCGTAGAAAGGAAACCTTCTGGAAGCTTTGGGCAGCGCATAGGGCATAATTTAAATGGGGGAGGTAGTCAGAGAAGGCCTCTCAGAAGATGTGACATTCAATACTTATCCATAACAATCCTGAAGGATGAAAGAGAGAGAAGGGCATTCAGGCAGTGAGGAAGGCCCAACAAAGGTCCTGAGGCCGGTACAAGCTTGCAGCGTGAGAGGAAGAGACAGAAGGCCAGTTTGGAGCAACCTGGGTTGGGCCTTGCAAGGGAGGATTATTCCGTTCTTTTTTTTTTTTTTTATGTTTATTTATTTTTGAGAAAGAGAGACAGAGCACGAGCAGGGGAGGGGCAGAGGGAGAGGGAGTCACAGACTGAAACAGGCTTCAGGCTTGAGCTGGCAGTCAGCACAGAGCCCGACACGGGGCTCGAACCCACGAACCACGAGATCATGACCTAAGCGAAAGTCGGACGCTTAACCGACTAAGCCAGCCACCCCTTTTTTTTTTTTTAATGTTTATTTATTTTTGAGAAAGAGAGACAGAGCACGAGCAGGGGAGGGGCAGAGAGAGAGGGAGACACAGAATCCGAAGCAGCTCCAGGCTCCGAGCCGTCAGCACAGAGCCCGATGCGGGGCTTGAACTCACAGCTGTGAGGTCATGACCTGAGCCGAAGTCGGACGCTCAACCGACTGAGCCCCCCAGGCGCCCCGAGGATTATTCAGTTCTGTCGAGAGGCTAGGGGGGCTGTAAGCAAGGAGATGGCACCATTTCTGGGCCTATGGCTTCTACGAGTACGGATGCTGTTGTCCGTGCCACAGGGAGAGGGGCTGTTCGCCCACAGCCTCCCTGAAGACCCTGGGTAAGGCCTCAGCCCTGGTGAAGAGGGTGGAGGACATTTGATGGAGACCTTGTCCACACAGAGGAGCCGGGGAAAGCCCAAGCTAGACCCAAGGCCTCCCAGGCAGGCTTGTGGGGCGGGTGGGCAGGCCCCCTGCAGAGAGCTGGCCGGAAAAGCAATAAGCAGCTTCCCTCTCCGAGCTGCTCCATTCCTGCCACTGCGCTGCTTGTGTTCCCAGGCCAGGCCAGGCCAGGCACGCTCCCCTCGGGGCCTTGGCACTGCTGTCCCCATGCCCAGAACGCCCTTCCCCTAGAGCTACCTGTGGCTCCCTCTTGCGCCTCCTTTAGGAGCTTATTCACGGGTCACCCTCTGCCTTATTGTTCTCGGTACCCCTTTCCACCTTGCAGCCTGCGTCGCCTGCAGCCTGTCTCTCTCTCCCAGGCAGGGGTGTTGGCCCTTCTTGCCTGCTACTGTCCCTCCCCAGAGCCCGGCAAGTGGCCGGTCCTCAGTACAATTCCGTTGGCCCGAAAGCGCTCCCCTGAAGGTCGGAATTAGGCAGGGATGTCTGCTCTCACAGCTATTCAACTCTGTCCTGGGAGCTCTAGCCAGAGCATGTATTTTTCTTTTTTAAAGATTTTGTTTATCAATAAACTCTGCACCCAATGTGGGGCTCAAACTTGCAACCCCGAGATAAGAGTTGCCCGCTCCACTGGCTGAGCCCGCCAGGCACACTCCGGAAAGGAGGAAGGGAAGCTATCACAGACGACATGCTCCTATATAAAGATGATGCCAAAGCACCCACCAGAAAGCTGCCGGTGCTAATATGTGAATCCAGCCAGGTTGCAGGTGCGAGGTCAAAACACCACAATTATTTGTGTTCCTCCACGCCGGCACTGAGCCATCCACTGCGGAAATCAAGAAAGCAACTCCATTCACAGCGGCATCTAAAAGAGTGAAGTGTCTACGCAGGAGGTGACGTCATGGGAAATTGTTGGAGTGGGAAGATCCAGGAAGCTGTTCTGCCTCCAAAACAACTTCTGAGCTGGCAGGAGCTGTGAGGATCCAAATTTGGAACTCTGGAGTCTAGACGGACACTTGGGCGTCTCGTGGAGCAGCCTCCAGCCTGGCAACAACGGGGGGTGGGGTGGCCCGAGGCCCTGGCAAGGCTTGCTGGTGCCACCGTGGGCAGCAAGGACCTTTTCCTCCCCGAAGCCAGCTGTGTGGTTGGTGGCTGAGAAGCCAGGACCGGGGCTGGCCGTGATTTCAACCCCAGGAGCGGGGATGACTTCCCTGCCAGGTCTGTTTGAAAGGGACAGAGCGTGAGCGCGGGAGGGGCAGAGAGAGAGGGAAACACAGAATCTGAAACGGGCTCCAGGCTTCGAGCTGTCAGCGCAGAGCCCTAGGCAGTGAGATCACGACCTGAGCTGAAATCAGACGCTCAACCCCTCAACCCTCTGAGCCACCCAGGCGCCCCTGTCGGTGAGCATTTAAAGAGATAGGACCTCCCCTCTCAGCCTTCTGGGAGCCAGACATTTAAGGAAATCTTTGACAAGGGCTTAATATCGAGAATGTAGAGAGAATTCCTAAACCTCGACAACACTAAAAATGAACAACCCTGCTAAAAAAAAAAAAATGGCAAAGGATTCGATAGACATTTCTCCAAAGAGCCGATAAACACATGACAAGATGTTCACTGTCGTCAGTCATAGGAAAATGTAAGCAAAAGCCGTAACGAGATATCACTTCACACTAGTAGGATAGCGATCAAGACAATCCTGAGTCACAAGTGTTGGCCAGGATGTAGAGAAACTAGAATCCACACGCGCTGCTGAGGGGAATGTAAATAGGTGTGCAACTAACTGTGAATATGGT